GTTAGCACTCTACCTCTGGGGCACAGGCACTTGTTTCGGGAATAAATTTTAACCCATAGTTTAATAATAACAGAAGGTATCTAACTCCAAATTGCACGTAGTCCCCCCCCTCTCTAGAATCGCGCTCATTTACACTGTCAGATGAAATGCACGGGTAAATTGTTTATACCTGTGTCTTCTGCGATAATTTATCGACACAACGATATCTGATATGCTTGACTTGATTTTCTTTTATCTCCGTAATCAGCTTCAAAACTCTGCTCGCCAAGTGGAAAGTGAAACTCAACCAAAGAATGGTATGTTCTTGTCCCGGGCAAAGAATTAGACCTCGAATTTAATTGGCTAAAACTCAGTTTCTAAATTTACATTCGAAAAACATCGTAGTGTTTTTATGGAAAATAAGACACTATGACATTTTATTTATTCAATGCAATATTTTAAATCTGGAATTGAATTTTTGAACCCATGCATTCTTTAATTTTTCTCCTTGCCCGAGATTAACACTTACCGTTTTATGGTTTAGTTCGACATTTCCACTCAGCGAGTAGAGTTTTGACGCTGACGAGATTAAAGGAAACAAATACATTGTCATATATGGATGTGAAGATAAATTATCGTAGATGACATATGTATAAACAGTTTGCCACTGCCTTTTCTTTTAAAGTTTAAATGAGCACGATTCTAAGGGAGGGAGGTACTCCGTGTAATTTGGAGTTAGATACCTTGTGTTATTATAATACTATAGACTAAAAATTTATTACAGAAACAAGTACCTGTGTTCTGGGGTCATGATTTGTACAAACTTGAATCTACATTACCTGAGAATCAATCAACATGAGTTTCATCTTTCCTGTTTCAATGATTCTTGAAAAGAATATTTTTAAAGATTTGTCCTACATGTATATATTCCTATGTTCAACTTGAATAGGCCATTATGGCCCCCTCTACCTTGAAGGACATGATTTGTACAAACTTGAATTTTCACCACCAGAGGATGATTCAACATAAGTTTCATCTTCAAGCTGAAGAAACAAGAACTTCAGAAGTCTCGTTTTAAGTAATCATTTCTTAAGTTTTATGGTCGATACAATGACCAGTTGACCACGTAAGCAAATACAATTTATTATTGAGTCAAATGCTGACTGACGTTTTCCATACTACTTGTTAGTGCATTATTCATACACTGAATTGACTATGGATTTTCCCGTTATTTCCCGATCATGACATGGAGCAAACGGCAAGTGTTACCGGTCAGCAGGATATGCTCACTACTCCATGGCACCTGATCCCACCTCTGATGTTTCGGAGGTCCGTGTTTGCTCTGTTCCTATTTGTTTGTTTTTAGGACTTTGATATTGAATACTGTACTCCATAACCTTCTCTCGATGGTTTTTGAGAACAATAGTTTTAAAAATTTTTCCTAGTACATATTTCTATGTAAAATTTTGATCGTAGATTGTGCCTAACCTTACCGCCGGGGGACATGATTTGTACAAACTTTAGTCTACACTACCTGAGAATGAATCGACATGACCCTCATCTTTCCTGTCTCAATGGTTCTTGAGAAGAATATTTTTATCTCTATGGAGAGGGCTTATATAGGTGATGCCTGCTGCCCAATCCATTTATATTATTACATAATAAAATATGTTCAAATCAAGAAGAATATTTTTAAAGATTTTTCCTAAATATTCCTATGTAAAAAATTGCTTGGCTGTCATGGCTCTACTCTACCCCTGGGGGTCATGATTGAAAAAACCTGAATCTACACTAACGGAGGATGCTTCCACATGAATTTCATCTTTCCTAACCCGGTGGTTCTAAAGATTTTTAAAAAGCCATAACTTTTTCACTAATTAATAATTATCTCCCCTTGAGAGAGGGCTTGGACTTTCATTTGAACAAACTTGAATTCCATTTGCCCAAGTATACTTTGTAGCAAGTTTGGTTGAAATTGGCCCAGTGGTTCGTGAGAAGAAGATGAAAATATGAAAAGTTTACAACCACATCAACAACGACAACGATGAGAAACAATGGACAATTTTTGATCAGAAAAGCTCAATGGAGCCTTCGGCTCAGGTGAGCTCAAAACTCTATTTCTATGAAATAATATTACACATACATTTACTGATCATAGTTCATATAATAGTATTTTATTTCCAATTTAAAATAATGTACCACATGCTGCTTCTTCAACAAAAATGAAACTCGTAACTTTACTTACCTCGTCATTGGTCATTTGAAAAATTATTTTGTTATAACAGATTCTGATTGCACACATAAGTACTCTAAAGTTGACACCAAGAAGATGCTTGAGTTTCTGATTGACAATATCTATGTGGTTTTTGGAGACCAGGTATTCCAACAATCTATTGGAATTCCCATGGGTACAAATTGCGCTCCGTTATTAGCAGACTTATTTTTATATTCATATGAAGCAGAATTTATGCAAAATCTTATGCGAGAAAAGAAGAAAACACTTGCTGTGGCATTCAACTCGACGTTTAGATATATCGACGACGTATTGTCAATTAATAATGATAATTTCCATTCCTACGTCGATACGATATATCCTGAGGAGCTTGAGATAAAAGATACCACAGAGTCCGACACTTCTGCTTCATACTTGGATATTTTACTTGAATAAGACACTAATGGTAATCTAAAATCCAAGCTATATGATAAACGTGATTACTTTTTAACTTTTCTATCGTCAACTTCCCTTACTTATGCAGCAATATACCTTCATCACCTGCATACGGAGTATATATATCTCAGTTGATTCGATACACAAGAGCGTGCTCTACGTATGAACAATTTCTTCACAAGCAAGTTGATGAATCAAAAATATTTCGTTTAAAGTCATCATTTCGTAAATTCTATGGTCGATACAATGACCTTGTCAGCAAATACAATTTATCATTGAGTCAAATGCTGACTGACGTTTTTCATACCAATTGTTAGTCCATTATTTATACACTGAATTGACGACGGATTTTTTCCGTTATTTCCTGATCATGACAACGAGCACACGGCGGGTATGACCGGTCGGCAGGGGATACTCACTCCTCCATGGCACCTGATCCCACCTCTGATGTTTCGGAGGTCCGTGTTTGCTCTGCTCTTATTTTGTATATTGTGTAATGGACGTTGAGATTGAATACTGTTCGTTATTTCCATATCTATGCAGACACTTACGAAAATCATGTAAGGTAAAAGCCTAATGGGATACATCCGTTTAACCAACTAATGAAGCTTGTGAAACCTACATACAGGGTTGTCCCAAAAAGTCGTAGACAATGTTATAACTTTTAAAACATGCAACCAATACTAACCAAATTTTGCAGAGACATAACATAGTCAATGTTCTTCAAAATTGTGGATGTTGAAATAAATATCTTTCATATTGATAATATTAGGACGATTTATATGAGGGACGATAAGGTCTGTCGGCGCACGAGCAAAATTCGGAATATTTTACCTATTTTTATAACTATTACATTTGCTTTTATTTTTTTCGTACTATGTTAAACATTGAACTGAAATTTACATTAGTGAAATCAGAATCAAAATTTTGATAAATAGCATTGGAAACAGACGATTTGTGTTATGATTTTCAAAGTGTTGTTGGAATTGTGTTTGATGAAAATGACGCTGTCAAACGCGTAACCGGAGCACGGATATATAATAAATTGTTTTGAATATGATTTGTATTCATTAGAGACGGTAAAAAAGTATTCAAGTGACATTACACACTAGATTTTAATAGGGAAGTTATTTTTAAGTGACATGAGATTCACTGAGAGGTTTTCCACTATACCGAAATTAGCTACAACATAAAAGAAGTAGACTACTGATTGTTAAGGTACCCAGACAACGGGGAACAATCTGGACTAAGAACGACGTCAAACAATGTGTATTCTCTGCTACCTACAATGTATGGCGATCTTTCGACTAAATTTCGACTAAAATTTGAATTTGCTTAGAAAAAACAAAAATTCTTACAGTAGTGAATTTAAAAAAGTCTCTTACTCAAGGGTGGTCTTTCACTTAAAAAAATATTGAATGTTAACAGACACGTGTAAAGCAGAAAAAGAGATCAGGACGTTATATGGGACGTAAATTATGCTTGCTTTCGTGCGCCGGTGTACACTTACATGCTTTCTTTATTTTTTCATAATTTCCTTATTAAATGTGATATCATTATGAAATTTGAAAATCATAATCATATAATGTTACTTTTTGTTCATTCAACAAAGTGAAAATAAAATGTTTTCCTTGTCTACGACTTTTTGGGACAACCCTCGTATGTCTATGGTACATATCCTTCCTGTTTGTGATAAATTAAAAAAGCAGACAAACAAAGAAACAAACAAAATTTATTAACCCTTTACTTACCCATTGTTGATATACAATTATTTTGTACATATTGACAAATATTTTCTCAACATATGTACAATTAATTTTTCGTTGAGAAAGGGCTGTGGCAATGTTAAGAAAACTGCGTTTCCCACCTCCATCGAAAAAAAGCTCCATTAAGTTTAGTATTCTCTATATCAACTATTTAAATTCGTTTCTTTTTCACAGAAATTTGAAAATAAAATAGTTCAAATTTATTTATCATGGATTTACATAGTAGAATATAAACTTCATTCTTATACTGCTATGCTGAGTGTCCCTGTAATAATATTTTTACTCTTGTGTTTGTTTAATACAATATAATAACAACCTTTCATGAAACAAAATCCCATTTGGACCAAATTCTTTCTTTAGTTAACTTTTCTCAATGTTAACCTTTATTGTCCTTTCTCACAAAGAAACCTTTCATCTGTTACTATTTTATATCATACATGTAAAATATTGATGCTGATAAAAATGGAATTAAATCTAATAATAGTTAATAAGAATAGAAATCAAAGTTCGCAGATAAATGCGCTAACGGTCTGATTAAAATGAAAATAAGAATAAGACATTCTACATCTATGAATTGTCTTACTTACGTTGAATCTTGATACTTCGCTAAGACGGTGAAAAATCTTATTTGTATTAAAAGGAAAGTGCAACCTGTCTCGGTTTCCCCAGTCAGATTTAAATGCTGATCTATCTGAACTTCTTTTATATATAATTTAAGTGTTTATAAAATCCGTGCGTGTTTATTAGTCATTATTCATTTTATTAGGTTAAACTTCCCTGCTCCTAAAGATATACATTATTATTTTGGTTCGCATGTACCAAAGTGAGAAAAAAGAATTAGTAAATTTAATTGAAAGAAAACTTAAACACAAAATTAGAAAGAGGCAGGAATGTAGCTTATACATGAAAATACAAGAAAAACAAGAGATGTTTTGTAAAACTCTTATGCCTTCGTCCCCCAAATAATTGGAATTTTTCTACGTTAAAGAGCATCTGTCAAAAAGTCCTCGATCGAACCAAAAACAAAACTAAAGATAAATATCCTTACGAAAAATCTGTATACCACATTTCATTTTAGAATGCGTAAATTTTGCGAGGAAAACAAATTAAAACTGCAAATAAAATATGTATATTTTTAAGTAAAAGGCAAAATTCTGTCAAAAGTGGTTTGAAAGTACCTAAAACTTGAGAGCTTGACCTAGATATTCTAAAAAAACCCCACTGCTTTGCAAATTTCATTTCAGTGTGTGCAACCATCGAAGAAAATTAACGGAAACTTAGTGGACTGAGAGATGAATGGACCGACCGACCGTCAGCTAGATCGACAGACAGCATCAAATCAATATGCCCTCTCCTCTTTTAAGGGAGTATAATAATACATATTTTGAACAGCTGACTACAGTGTAGAAATAATTCATATTGTTAAAGATAACTGGGACATTTGAGTACGTTACTTTAGAACCTAATCTTTTAAATTAAATTATCAAAATTAAAATTTAGCCTTTCCCCGTATTTCTTTTTTATTTCATTTTATTTCACGACTTTAAAATTATTTTGGAATTTTATTTGTTTTTATAAATGTCGGTAGAGAAGTGTTAATTGCCATTCTCTGTAACCACTTAAACTTCGTTGCCACGCATGGTCACCGATTTTGATGAAACTTCACCCATGCTTAGTACTTGACACCAGAAACAAATATCAAACAAAATTTCGTTGCTAAGTGTCTCGGTTGCTATGGCAACAGCCGGAAAAGTTTGAACAATCGAGATTTTCAGCCACTTTAAATCCTGACTGTGGCTTAATGAACACTAGAAAAAGCAAACAAACCACTCTAACAAAAACATGACACCTTGATGTCACTTAAACTGTAAAGAAACTGTTTAGAATATATCTCTAAGTAAGTGGTAACCAAGGGTACATTTGGAATACATTTAAAATGCTGAAATATGCTGAAAAACACTACATATTCACTAATGGTAGGTGTTACATGCTAAATCTCAATCATCGACTTAAGAAAAACAATGAAAATGTTTGACCTTAAGTATATAAGTATAAGAAATATTATTCTATGAATAAATTTTATGGTTGCCATGGTAACACAGTGTAACTATGCAAAACCAGTAAGTAAGATTGGGTTAATGCTACTGTCTTGAGGAAAAACATGAAAATTCAAGACTGGCAAATATACATCCTTAGGACCTTGCAACACCAAAACCATAAGAAAAATTGGATATAATTCCTACTTTGCAGTGTTGCCATGGAAACAAAGTACCAGTGCTTAAAAGTGAATTATTTTTCACTGCTTTAAGAATTAAATTGCCATATAATCAAGAAATAAATTAAAGGACTCAGCTTGAATAGTACTTATCTGTTAGAACTAAAGTTGAATATCATATATTGATAAAAGTTGATGAAGAAAACAACACTGTTGCTATGGTAACCAAGAAGGGAAAATGTTCGATTTTGTGAACTTTATATCAATATTAAACCCTGTGTGCCAACTTCTTGCATCCACTTAGAGATTGGATGATAGTCAAAATTAAAAGTCAGGTTAGCTGTTAATAAATATCAATCATAAAAGTTTTGGGAATCTACATTTAAGGGTACGTATCCAAGGAAAAAAAATAGTTTTCAGGTTTTTAAGCATATATTTTCTGCTTATCTCCATAGCAACGCTCTATTTAAAGAATCTAATCTGAATTTTTTCAAATGGGAAAACTAGGAGCATACCAACATCTTTAAAAATTGATCATTAGTTATGAGGAAATGTGCTTTTTGAAAAGATAGGATCAGATTTAAACAAACAGAGTGTTACTTTGCAGGCTCTCTGTGGTGAAAAAACCTTGGCAACCATTGCCAACCAAAACGAAATATCATATTTTGTTCATGGTATATGTTTCAAGGCTCTTTTTTCTATTATTTGGTCACATTTCATCCTATAATTGCTTTTTATTTTTATGTGCATGACTCTATATAATTCAATGTATTTTTTTTTTACTTTTGAATACTTTGTTACCATAGTAACGTATGTAATAGTTGATTTACCAAACATGTTTATCATGCATTTGAGACATCTGACCTTCAGCTTTTTAAAACAGCCATTGCCAATTGTTTGCTTTGCCGCAAATGTTAACTATGGGGCTCTAAACATGTTAAAAATGTCATTTTTCGAAATTTAAGACATGTTGCCATGGTAACTATAAAACATAGCAACCAATTTTTGCCTGATTTTTGTTTAGGGTATCAATGACTTTTATCATAGAGAGTTTGGAGAAATTCTGAGACTATGCGTGCCACAGCTCCTACATAAAATTTCAAATCATTACAGAGAATGGCTCTTAAGAGCCATTCTCTGTATTGATTTGAAATTTTATATAGGAGCTGTGGCACGCATAGTCTCAGAATTTCTCCAAACTCTCTATGATAAAAGGCATTGATACCCTGAACTGAAATCAGGCAAAAATTGGTTGCTATGTTTTATAGTTACCATGGCAACATGTCTTAAAGTTCGAAAAATGGCATTTTTTAACATGTTTAGAGCCCCATAGTTAACATTTGCGGCAAAGCAAACAACTGTTAATGACTGTTTCCAAAAGTTGAAGGTAAGATGTCTCGAATGCATGATAAACATGTTTGGTAAATCAACTATTACATACGTTACTATGGTAACAAAGTATTCAAAAGTAAAAAAAAATATTCATTGAATTTTATGAAGTCATACTCGTAAAAATGAAAAGCAATTATAGGATGAAATGTGACCAAATAATAGAAGAAAGAGCCTTGAAACATATACTAAGAACAAAATATGATATTTCATTTTGGTTGACAGTGGTTGCCAAGGTTTTTATACCATAGAGAGCCTTCAAAGTAACACTCTGTATGTTTAAATCTGATCCTATCTTTAAAAAAAGCACATTCTCTCATAACTAATGATCAATTTTATAAGATGTTGGTGTGCTCAGAGTTTTCCCATTTGAAAAAATTCAGATTAAATTCATTAAATAGAGCGTTGCTATGGAAATAAGCAGAAAATATATGCTTAAAAAACCTGAAAAATATTTTCTTTCCTTGGATACGTACCCTTAAATGTAGATTCCCAAAACTTTTATGATTGATTTTTATTAACAGCTAACTTGACTTTTAATTTTGACTATCATCCAATCTCTAAGTGGATGCAAGAAATTGGCACACAGGTTTTAATATTGATAAAAAGTTCACAAAATCGAACATATTCGCTTCTTGGTAACCATAGCAACGGTGTTGTTTTATTCATCAGATTTTAGCAATATATGATATTCAACTTCAGTTCTAACAGATAAGTACTATTCAAGCTGAGTCCTTTAATTTGTTTCTTGATTAAATGGCAATTTAATTCTTAATGCAGTGAAAAATAATTCTCTTTTCAGCACTGGTACTTTGTTTCCATGGTTACACTGCAAAGTAGCAATTAAACAAAATATTTCTTATGGTTTTGGTGTTTCAAGGTCCTAAGGATGCATATTTCCCAGTCTTGAATTTTCATGTTTTTCCTCAAGACAGTAGCATTAACCCCTTCTTAGTTACTGGTTTTGCATGGTTACACTGCGTTACCATAGCAACCATAAAAGTTATTTATAGAATAATATTGCTTATACTTATATACTTAAGGTCAAACATTTTCATTGTTTTTCCTATGTCGTTGATTGAGTTTGAGCATGTAACACCTACCATTAGTGAATACGGAGTGTTTTTAGCATATTTCAGCATTTGAAATGTATTCCAAATATACCCTTGGTTACCACTTACTTAGAGATATATTCTAAACAGTTTCTTTACGGTATAAGTAACATCAAGGTGTCATGTTTTTGTGAGAAGGGTTTGTTTGCTTTTTCTAGTTTTTATTAAGCCACGGTCAAGATTTAAAATGCGTGAAAATCTCCATTTTTCAAACTTTTACGGCTGTTGCCATAGCAACCGAGACACATAGCAACGAAATTTTGTTTGATATTTGTTTCTGGTGTCATGTACTAAGCTTGGGTGAAGTTTCATCAAAATCGGTGACCATGTGTGGCAACGAAGTATAAGTGGTTACAGAGAATGGCAATTAAATACATGTACCTAGACATGTCATTTACATGTACCTAATTGTAACGTTTACGGGGCATTTTAAAAGAAAATCATTCTTTACTGACCGGTATCAAAATGCAATTACTTTAAAAGTCTCTCTAAAAATTATCTATACACAAACAGATGCATAGACTTGTTAAAATATTCATAGTTTAACGTAGACTTTTACGTATTTTGGTTAACAATGAATAGAATGTTCCAGTTCATTTTGCTAATGAATAAATAATACCCCCATAGAACAAATCAATATAAAGTTTGAAAAGTGAGTTTATGGTTAAGAGAGTGTCCGCTCACAGCATACTTTTTTGTATTCATACGAAGAGGATTGTTTTGACTTTAAAAATGACCACGAAAGTCGATGATTGTGTGGCATTTACAAAAACTTCATTTAATACATGCACCTTGTATGGTAATAACAATTATAAACATGTTCATGTACTTAAATGTTCGATGTCTTCCATGAAGCATATGGAGATTGCGAACAGGATTCAAGATCAAAAGTCCATAAAAAAAATACAAAACAGGAGCAGAACAAAAACGGATTACCAAATCATCAGAGGTGGGAACACTGCCCTACAATGGCGATGT